TTACATTTCGTCTTCCAGCTAACTGTTGAGTTGGGTGTTTGTCCGGATAATAGAGTTTACTATTGCCAAAAATATGCAAAACTCTCTTGGCAAAGTACATGTATACTTTGGCTGGAGTTTTACACAGTCCCTTAGTAGTATAATAGAGGGCTTTAAATATCGTTATTTGGGATAAGAACGGTTTTACTTGCAGCTTATAAACATATTAAAGTGGCTTAAGGCTTTTAGTGCTCCTCGTCATTAGCTGAACTTACTCCGAAATATGATCTTTTTTTTTTTTTTTTTTTGATCAGTTCTAACCAAAACTCAGCCAAAAAATAAGTTCTGCTGCAGATGGTGACAGAGCTCAAATGATGAAAGTGGAGAGTTGTCCCACTCTCAGCAGACTTCCTCATCTTTTCTGACCAGGAAAGTCATTTCACTAAAAAACAAAGGAAATATTTCTTGTGGAGATGCAGAGAAAGAAAACAGTCATTTGTTACAGCCAGCTGCAATCTGTACAACAGGAAAAGGGTTGTGGCCATTTTTAACCAGTGCAACAGCCTTCATTGGGCTGTAAGTGCTGCTTTTGTTCAACAAGCAAAAATGAACGTAAAACCCATATTCTTAAAGAGATCAGCAAAACAACATGACGTAAAACATCGCTATAATAATTATTTATTCTGATTTCTAACGTATGCTTTTGAGATGGCTGAGCTTGGTCTTTTCTTCTACCAGCATTTGAAATGCAGCTTTGCAGTTCTGTTGAATTCAGGCGGCCAAATTCTGTCCTGGCATACAAACACATGCTCTCCCTGAGGTGCTGACAAAAAATGCATTTTTTAATTTGAAAGTGGTTGTACCTATAATGTCTTTTCAGTTTCATCTACACAGAATGTGATTTGTTCATCTCCAGTTTTTTTGTTTCGCTTTTAGTGCAGCAGCAACTGCTTTGGATGAGTTTCGAGAAGGCGGTCCTGTGCTGCTTGAATAAATGACACATTATAGGGAAGGAAGGGATATTCACGCTTCTGCGTAACACTGTATTGTTGCTTTTGTGCTCGGATAATCAGAAAATGGTTCTCTTTGCTGTGTTCAAGGGCACTGAATTAAAAATTGTAAGTTTTCTGTTAGGAAAATTGATTCAGAAACACTTTAAATGGATAGAAAACGGCATGCTGTTACAAGTGGTCAGAAATGTAGTGCGGGTTATTGAAGAGCAGTCGTACATCTGGCCTCCTTAGATGTCTTCGGATCCTTGGCTACTTTAGTTCTGAAATAGGCACAGTAGTACGAAGGCCTTGAGAAAAGTACATTTTTCAAAACACTGCATAGTGAAAATAATAACAAATTTCCTTCAGAGATTTTGATGAGTGTGTATAGCTGTACGTAAAGGCAGAAGGGTTGTGGGGCAAGGGATACAGAATCTTAGAAGTTGTGCAAGATTCACAGCAGTGAATTAATTTGTTTTGGAAGACTTCAAATTAATTCCCTATTCAGCACTTCAAATATTTCTGGATAGAAATAATTCTAAATAAGAAGCTGAGACCATAACTTCAGTAGTTTTGTTTGGTGTTGTTTTTTTTTTTTTAATTTATTTCCTAGTTCTTAGAGGTGCCCGGCAGCACTTAAAAACCCTGAATTTTGTCACTTGGGAATGATGTTCCAGCTGGTTGGCCAGTTGTGATCGATGTGTTCTGGGCTCAGCCTTTTCATTGCTCTTGCGGACAGGATTACTCCAATAATCCAGCAGTCTGGATGCTTTACCTCCGACCCTGTGTGCTCATCAATGCTCTTGGATGCTAAAAGCATAATAAGGATTATGAGGGTAGCAGATGGATAGAATTGATTTATAGCAATATGGCCTTGCCAGTGCTTGCAATTTCGTTACGACTATTGCAGCAGGTGATGTACATCTTCAATTCCCAGCTCCCAGATCTGGGCAAGAACTCGCTTGGTGCATGGCTTTCGGTTAACCTTTTACATTGCTGATCTTACAAAGAGGAGTGTTTTGCAAGGAGGATAGAGCTGACTTTGGCCACTGCGGGCTTAGTGAGGAGCAAGGTTTGTTTAGCAGCAGCCCCCACCCCGAGCAGCCAGGGCCTGTGTGTCAGTAACCTGAGGACAAGCCGGGGTGGGAGCTGTGTGTGTACGAGAGGCGAATGGCCCCATGAAATGCCAAAGCCAAACACCATCTTCACATTGGGTTTTTCAGTTTTTGGTGAGTTAGTAAAACTGCAGTGGGATGATGTGGGTGTTATTGAGTGTGTAAATACAGTGATTCTATAACAGAAAGAGGGGAAGAAATTTTAAAAGCTGTGCGTGGCAGTCCTCCACGCCTCTTACAGCCTGTATTTTATAACGTAACAGAAATCCTTAAATTTGGGCGCTGCTCTAAGAGATGCTCTATACACAACTGTCTTCCTGACCTCCCATCTGCACATCTGCTTTTCCCACTGCCCCACAAGCATGCCCTTCCTTCTTTGGCTTGATTAGATGCTAAAATATTCTGTTTCTGCTGTGGGAGGATAAAGCATGCAACTGAAGTACCCTGAAATCTGGAAATGCAAACCAGACAGCTGAAGCCAGGGCCATTCCCAAAACTAGGAGTACATGGGAATGACCCTTCTTGCTAACTCTGTCTGTCCGTGAGAGGCTGGGGGGGGCTGCAAGCTTCTCCTTCCAGCATTAGTTTTCTCCCAGGTGAGGTGGCTCCTGACAGCCCCCAGCTGCCCACCACCAGCCTGCAGGGTTGGGGCAGAAGCTTGTAAGCCAGGGTACTCTGGCAGTGACTGCATGCATGCTGGGATCAGACAAAGTACAAGCTGTGCAGCGAGTCAGGATGAACTCAGGGGCTTGCAGGAGTATTGGATTGGATTCACAGGGAGGGACCCATGCCCATGTCCAGCAGGCAGCCAACAGAGGGCTTGCAGCACAGCACAATTAGTCTGCTGGGAACAGCAGTCCTCTGCAGCTTCTGAGCCTGAAAGCATTACATGCTGTCTGCTGACTTCTCTTTTTATTTTAGGACCACCGGGCAGTTTATATTTGCATGCTCTATAAAGCTTTTAAAAACAGTTTTACAGCTTGCTTAATGTACAGAAGTTCCAAGCAGCTATAAAATTAAACGGTAGCTGTGAGCGCAGTGAGTCCCGTGCAGTGCAGATGCTGGTGACACAGTACAGGGTCACTCTGCATTCCCAGGCAGTGACAGCAGTATGCATGCTGTGCTGATGTGGGATCCTCTGCTTACTAAGCCCCATGCACTCCATGGGGCTTCTCAGCAGCTTTGGGGGGCCCTCAGCACCCTGCATGCTGGGATTCCCCCAGCCTCCCTCTTGTTTTGGCTGTACTTCCACCCCAACTTTCATCTGTGGTCAGATTTATAGGAAACCTTACTATAAATGTGATTCAGAGATAGGGATGGAAGCCATGCAGGAAAACAAAAGGCACCTCAGTGCAGAAGTGTGCTGGTGTCAGCTTGTGCTGACAGCAAGTCTCGTCATTACATAACGATGCACTTACCCAAACGGCATTTTGTATTTTTGGAGACAGATGTGCCTTGCAGTTGCTGGTGGAAGTGAAATGTTAAACACGAAACCCATTCATTTTCTCTTAGTCATACTTTGGATTTAAGCAGATGTTTTCCTAATTTGTGGTTTTCAAATGTAGCATGCTGACAAGACATTTATCATTAGCTACAACTTCATCCATGCAGTTGAGCAAATTGGCTGATTATTAACAGTGAGTGCTGCATGGCGGTTGATGCGTAGCCCCTGCTGCTTTGAAAGGCCTAAATCGAAACTCTAAATACAGTTTTACAATATAAATTAATTGAGCTTTGGACTGCATCCCTTCTACTCGAGTGCTCTCTACTCTCATTTTCAGGGCCAGCAGCCATCTGTAGTGTGTTGAGTTGTTGTGCCATCTGTGATCAAAGGCTCCTGTGGGTGGAAGAAGTGATGGTTAACATTTTTCTGATGGGGGCATGAAAATGGCTGCTGGTATCCAGCGTGACTTGCAGAAAGAGCATGGCCATGGGACAGTGTATGTACACATGCACCAGGCTGGCTCTGCCACTGGTGATGCTGGAAGTAGAAGGATGCAGGGGGCAGGAAAAGCAGGGTGGGCACAGCATTGCCTGATATTTATTTTATAACATTTCATTTGCTTATATAGATTTGTTAGACTTAACACATTTGGGATGATTTTTTCCTCCCATTTAATGTTTGCAGTGTTTCATATGATGAGAGCAGGGGTAGTGGGGTGTGAGCAAAGGTGCTTTCCAATGCTAGGACCCGCCATACACCTCAATGTGTCATCTCCTGTATTCTTAGTTCTGAAATTCAAGCAGGCAACTTAGTTACTGTGTATTTACCCCACGTGTATGGCTTAATGGAGAACACTCAATGCACCTGTAATTTCTAGATAGTATAAAGAAGACCTTGATTTTCAGCAGCTTACGCTGCGGAAATTTGCTTTACATTCCAGTTGTTCTTACCAGGTTGGTTTTACAATTCCATCTGATGTCCCTTTCTTCACTTCCTCCTGCTCTGTGGGAAAAGGTGGTGCTGGTCCCCCCAAACATCGCGGTAACACCACAACGTGCGCCAGAGCAGGAAGGGCAAAGGTTGCATAAAACAATGAGAAAACAGAGATTTGGGGATGCTCTTGTGTTGTCCCTTCTCCTGATCTGCTTTATGACTATGAATTAAGTGGAAACTTAAAATGAGCTGAAGGCCTGATCCAGAGGGTCTGTGAGGGGTGAAATGAGGATTTTCAAGAGAGGTCTCTGATGTGCTCGTCTCCCTCAAAACTTTTTGATTGAAAATGGTATAGCAGCAGAGTTTTAAGCAAAGGTGTTGGATTATGACTGCATTGCTGACCACCACCTTGTTCCCTCTGGGTTTAGATGAGTAAATCTATCGCGGTGACGGCTTGTGTCATGCTGGGCTGTAGCAGGAGATGAGCGCAGTCAGATTTCGAGTGAATTCAGCTAACCCGATCCCGATCCTTTGCAGCGCTGCCAAGCTCCTGGAGAAGAGCCCGTTCTCCGTCAGTGCCCCGAGCCCCCTGCTCCCCTCTCCGGCCAGCCTGCAGCTGGCCCAGCTCCAGGCACAGCTCACACTGCACAGGCTGAAGTTGGCTCAGACCGCCGTCACCAACAACCCGGCTGCCGCCACGGTCCTCAACCAGGTGCTCTCCAAAGTGGCCATGTCCCAGCCGCTCTTCAATCAGCTGAGGCACCCCTCTGTGATGGGTGCTTCTCCGGGACACGCTGCAGGTGGCCCTCCGCCAGGGCCTGGCATTGCGAGCACAAGGTTCTCTTCCGGCGGCATCGCCTTTCCAGCACAGAGCGCGGGGGGCAGCCTGGGGCCCATGCAGGCCCAGGCCCCCAACGCCATCGTCATGAGTCCCTTTGGAGGCGTCATGGCTCCCACCTCCAGCCAGCAGCCCGTGGTCGTTGGACTCAACAAGGTGGGCCCCTCCACCGCTGCCGCTGCCGGAGGATTTTATGAGTACAGCAAGCAAAATGTCACCACCCCGCAGGCCTACACCTCGGAAGGGGATCAGCCTGGCTTCCCTTCAGCGGTTGGGGCTCGCTATGAGGGGCCCTTTGGCCCCGCCGGCCCGCTGAAGCACGACTCTCCAGCAGGGTTCCAGAAAGATGCCTATGGGGCAGCGCCCACCTTCCCCGGCGACCCACACACTGGTACTCATCCAAAAGGAGATCCCAGCCCCATCTTACATGGCACAGGTACAAGCAACCAGTGGGAAAATATCCCGAATTTCTCCAGCCAAAACAAGTCTGACCTCCTGCCCAGTGACAGCATGTGGCCATCAGCAAGCCAGCAGCCGTATGAAATAAGAAACGAGCTGTACAACCCCGAAGAACCGACACCTGACACAAAGTTTAGCACGGCCGCTGCCCCGGCATTCGGCAGGCTCAACAATAGCAAGCAGAGCTTCAGCAGCCCCCGGCTGAGGCAGAATGAGGAGCTGAGCGCCGGTGCACCCGACCTGCCCATGAGGTCACTGCAGCCCCACGAGCTGAACGACCTTCATGGTGTGGCTCCCCTCCACTTCCCCCACGTCTGCTCCCTCTGCGACAAGAAGATCTTTGATCTGAAGGTGAGTGATTTTAACGCGCCCAGGGGCACCTGTGGCTTTCAAAGGGGTTTCCCTGTCTGTCACTTGATTTTTCTGTCTACCTGTCCTGCATAGTCTGTCAGCCAGGTCAGCCTCTATCACAGAGAGAAACAGAGTTTTGTAGGGCTTGTAGCACTGTAAATCTGGTCTGTGGAAACTGCTGGGCTTTCAAGATCTGTTTTTGTACCGCATTGCGCTGTGAAAATGTGGAGAGCGGTGTGTGCACAGCAGTCTGCCGCTGGGAGGCTGTGGTCCTGGCGTCAGAAATGCCAGATCCAGACACGCGTCATTCCCATCTCTGATGGGTGTGAATCAGGGAGAGGAGGAGCTTGAACCTGATCCTCCCTCCTCCAGCCAGTATTGTAACTGCACATCTGCAGTTTCATTTGGCTATCTCTGTTTCTGATCCCAAAGCCTTCCTGATAGAAGCTTTGTGGAAAGTCGCTTGAACAAAATAGCACTTTTCCATAAAATGACTTTGATAATTTCTTTGTTGGGGTGTCCTCCACCTTCCAGTAACTCAAAGAAAAGAATTAGGACTCATTGTCCTAGTGGCTTTGGCCTGGAAGAAAGATGCTACCCAGCATAAGGGGTGCAGACCAGATCTATGCACCAGATCTTATCTGCTGTGGGCCCTAACAGCTTTTCTTGACCACATTCATACTGTCAAAAGACCCCGAAATTGAAACTCAACCTTGAGGAGAAACTTGCCTGTTGTATAGAAATTCTGTGTTGCAAGATCATGGTATATAGGTCAGCTCTGGAGAGAGCCACTGTGGGGTTGTTCTGCCCTCTAGGTGAGCTCTGTTCCACTGGTCCTTGTGGCCTTTTCCATCACACTGCAGGACCAGCACCTCACTGCAATGGCACGTGTTTTCGTGCCAGTGGTAGCCTGACAAAAATATTGTAACAGCATGAGTATACAAAGGAATGTAGCCAGCAACTGAAATAGTACCTGATACATACATGCCCTGTGGCTTTGGGAGATTTGAATATATTTGCTCTTTCATGTTTCCCTTTTATTCTTTGAGCAGCTGCTTGCAAGAGGTTTTTCTATGACTACTGCAGCTACAGGAGTGGTCTGAACTCACCCCCACGTAGGGCATGCTGGGCATGTGTGTTTTTCATTAAACATTTTATAAGAATGGCGTAATTACAGTGAGCTTCAGTTGGTCTGTTTATTAATGTTTAATATAGCACCTTATTTGGTCCGTAGAAATGTAAAAAGCTGAATGCACTTCTCTTGCAAAGGTGTTCATCTACTGAAATGAACTATCTTTGCTGCCATGTGTGATGAGCACCCTTGTTATGGACATTGCAGGAGCTGAGGATGTTCAGAGCCTTTCAGGACGAGCTTTTCAAAATAAATTACCTGATTTAATAGAAATAAACGTGTAGAATTTAAAAACTAATTCAGGGAAGCTATCCATGTTAAGTAACTGGTAACTGAGTCTACAAATAACAAATCAGTAAATGCTTTGGAGAAAAGAACGCTTGGCTCCAGTATCATACAGTTAGATCTTCAGCATCTCAGCTTTAGAATAAGGTAAACTGAACGGAGAAGCAATTTTTCAGAAATTTGTCTTAAGATTTTTCCTGTTCTCATCGTCTCTTTGTTTCAACATAGGACTGGGATCAGCACGTAAAGGGAACTCTTCACATCCAAAAATGTATGGCTTTTTCAGATAAGTAAGTATTATTTCAGAGATGCTTTTCCAATTGAATTTCTAATAAAGCATCCCTTACTACAATGGGTTTATACCAGGAATTTACAATCTAATAATTAGGCTTTAATATTTATGACACGTTATGCATGCTCCTAAAGTTGTTTCTTTCTTTTCCAGCACTGGTATCCGGTGTGTGTTAAGTTCAGCAGATGGAACATTGCATTTATCACCAAATAATGCAGCAGTTTTCAATCCATCTAGTATTGAAGGTGAATGGTTGCATGTACAATAATTAAAAAACTATTTTTAATGAAAGGGGATTTCTCTGGGGAGAGGTGGGCATTTCAAATGACATATGATACAAGCTTCCAGGGAAAATAGTTTTTAGGCATCATATGCAGAAAAACTTAAAAGACAACCTGCCTTTCAAAATAGGAATTTATTTTTCTTTCCAACAAGTAGTTGTTTCCACAGTACAATGAAGCAATGGTGTTAAAATGATGAAATTAATTGTTACCTAAATGGGGCATTGCTTATTGAGTCAAGATAATAATATGAATCAAGATTTTCACAAAACTGTGTAATTCATTATTTAGATTATCCACCAAATGTCGGCTCATCTTTTATCACTACGTCAGCAAGATCCTTTGGCCAGCCAGGTGCTACATTTCCTTCTCTTCCATCAGGGGTAAGAGTGAGTATTTAAGAAATTGGTTTCCTTGCAGAGATTCTTGCAGAAACCACTTCTACATAATGGAATTAAAAATCTGTCATTTTAAGACTTCCTTTTAAGCAATGATGGGAACGCTCAGTCCATCATTTAAATTTACCTGCAGCTCTTTTATGCTTTTGATTTTGATCAAAACAAATGTAGATGTAGTTCTTTTGGTGTTTTTTGTATTTGTTTGTTTGTTTGTTTATTTTCTGTGCTGAAATTGTTTGCTTGTTAGAGTGATCTGGAGAAGGTGGCAGGTTGTTTTGCGTGTATCCCGTGGCTTTCCCCCCCATATTCTGAGCCTTATTGAAGCAGGAAAATCAGCTGAAAAACTGAATTAAGTTTTACTTACTCTAAGTATTGATCCCAGTGAGAGGCCTGCATCTCTTCAGTTATTTGTCTGTAGCAATCACTCTCTGCTGGGGACCTCCTCCCATGTAGCAGTGGTGGAAAGACAGTGGCTGCAGCTCCACTAATGCTTATTCGCTTGGGCGTCTCAGTTCAATTAATTATACTGGACTAGCTTTTTCTTAGTTTATTTTAGTGTACTATTTATATCGCCTGCTGCCACTGGTAACCTTTCAACAAGTTTGCTTCAGTATACATAAACCTTCTGTGGTTTCAGTTTATTATCCTCCCAGTACTCAGGACAGGTCCCAGTTGTGTTCCTCTAGTGTGCACTTGAGTTACCATCCCAATCAGCAAAGAGTGTCACACACAAAAAATCTAACGTTAAATGCGGCTTTTAAACTGAGGGTTAAAAGGGTTTTAAAAGAAGGGGAAAAAAGCAAGAAACTGCAAATCATATGCAGAATAAAAATACAAAGACGTTAGGGTTAAACTGAAGCTCAACGTATATGAGAAAGCTATTATTGGAGTTGGAAACATCAAGGAGTAATGCTAGGTTGTTCATAGAATAGCAGCAGTAATCCGGGGGTTCAAGTTTTCACCTTGTTAGCTTTTATGTACACATCCTGATGTCGGCTCAGGCACTCCAGAAGGACAGGCTGAGCTGTGTCCCTGTTCACATCGCTCCAGCTCACATCGGCATTTCTTACAAAAACATCACCCAGATTTGTGTAATCCAATCAATTTTGTGCTGTGGGGTTTTGCTATGACAGGAGTTGTTGGAAGGGATTTTGGCTTCTGCCTGTCACAGACACCACGTGTGCAGGGCAGCAAAGAGCAGAGCTGCTTGTGATGGCTGCCTCCAAGGTCAAAGGTTGGAGTCGCGGCGGCTGTGGAGGAATGTTCCTTTTCATCATGTCTGTCAACCTCACAACAAATGAAATTACTGCTAATACCAGTATCGTTTCTCCTCAGAATCTGTCACTATTTATCATCTAAGCTGCCTGCAGAAGTCCTTCTGAATGACCTGCAGTGCTAAGAGAGATAAAAGAACCAATAACTTTGGCTTTTCTGGACACTGCAAATCCCCTTTTTCTTCAGAAGCTCAGGAGGTGGTCAGGGAACTATATTAGAGGTGTTAAATTAGAGTTTACCAGCTGTCATTCCCCCACAACTCAGGTGGTTTATAATTTATTATATCTTTGCACAGCAGTATTCACTTTCAACTAAGCTGCTGCCATTTAACTGAGCAGTGGGAGATTATACTTGACCCTGCATGTAATCATAAACAAAGTGTTCAGATTTCTGGGAGAGCTTGATACATGCTCTCTGTCTGCAAATAACTCAGTCCTTCTTCTAAAGGCAAATAGAGCGCTGCCAGCCTTCCCTCAGGCAAGGAAAGCCACTGGCACTGAAGGAGTGGAACTGTTGGTTTCTTATTATCTTTAGGAAAGAGTTATGAAAAGCTCAAGAAATGGATAAAGGATTTGAAAAGTAAGAGATCCCAAAAAATGGGAAGGAAAAAAAAGATGCAATTAAAAATATCTTAATTAGATTGATGCAAGAATATGGCAAACTGCATGAGATGCCCTTCACTGTTATACAGGAAATAATTTATTCAACCACTTATTTTTTGAACAAACTATTTTTTTAACAGTTGTCCAACTGCGCTGGTAGATCCCTGTAGACGTCAAAGAAAGTTAACATGAAGTCTTACTGAAAATCACATTCTGCACTGGACACACCATGGCTCCTTTAACTTCCTGAGTGTGGATATAGAAGTTGTATATTCCTTTTCTGGCTGTGTTTTACAGCTCATTTAGTGAATGAATCCAATTTAACTTCAATCAGCTGACAAGAATATTGTCTGGTACAGTTCATCTGATCCCCATATGAGTGTCTGACCACTTTTTAGTCGTGAATTATAGCAGATTTATGACATGACATTTCAATTCAAGCCATTGCCAATTTTGGGGAGGTGGTAACGTCTTAGAGTCATCTGATTTAATGTACTGCTGAGTTCATGTCTGAGCCTGGGCCCTGGAGCCTAGGGAGGGAACAGCTGTCTTTCTAGTCCTGTATATGCTTAACACACCATCTCTTAACAGATCTGACAAAACAAAGAGAAGGTGCCAGGTGACATGAGGTGTTCTTGTGCTGTTAGGAAGGTTTCCTTTTTCCCTGCCAGCTGCATATTGTGTTCTCCTGTTGTGTGCTACGTGCTGCCTTGCCAGATGCACTCAGCCATCACTACTTTTCTATTCAGGTGGAGCTGAGTTGATGCCATGTTTCTTTAGGGTGAAGTTTTTGTTATTTTTGTGATAGAGAAAACACTTTCCTTTTGGACTGTGGCACTTGTTTGATTTGCTTTATGCACCTGAGCAGTCTCTGTGAGCTGAATAGCAGACTGCTGTGTGAGGCAGGCTTGTACTGCAGCAAAAACACACCAGCGGTTAAGGGATGAAGTCTGGAGGGAAGGTAACGGGATGAAGGTGCAAATAAGATAACATTAGCTCTGTAACTTGTGAACTTGCTGACAAGCCAAACATTTGTGATGGCTCTGGTGAATTTGATCCCACAAGATTACATGATTTGCATCTTCTCTTGAATGGCACAATTTTAACTGAAGGTAGAGTTACTTCTTCAATAAAACCCTAACAGCGGAAGTCATAAACAGGGAAGTATTCTGGGAAGACTTAATCCTGTGTGAGCAAGGTTTGCATGTCATTAGCTGAGGTAAATTATATTTCTCTCTCAGTATACTCTGATGTCTGTTTGCATGAGGAGCGCAGACACTGCTTTCCACATCAGGGAGAAAGGCAACTCTTTGGGAACTGCCCCAGCACCCCAGAATAGACTTCCACCTTTGGGAAGTGACTGCTGCATCAACAGCATGTGCCTGTGCCAGTCTAGTTTGGGACCTCTGCCTCTCTGCATGCCCCCTGTGGTCAGCATGCTCTCAAGAGAAATGCGTCTCTGACTATGTGGTGCTGCAAAGAGGGAGGAAAGCAGCAGGTGTTCCAACCTCAGGTACAGCTGGGGTGTTCTCTTGCAGAATGAACACTGTTGTTTTTACCCCCAGCCCAATCTGTTCCATGAGAGCATGAGGAGGGTTTGAATTCAATCCCTGCTATCCTGAACACCTCTACAGTCATTTAAACTGTTTTTTAACATCCATAAATCGTGCAGGGACTGCAGTGAACATCTGCTTGAAAATACTCTTCTTTATAGATGTGTGTGAGCATTGCTGGCAAAGTATTTGTTAAAGGTGTTTTACTCAGTAATATGTGGTGCCCTCATGTGTGGGGAAAGTGCAAGGCCATCAGTGGGACAGGCAGATGCAGAAGGACAGAGTGAAGGCTGCGTGACTTGGCAGAAGAGCCTTGGAGCTGGCTGGTGTAGCGGACAGATACCGTGCCTGCAGTGAGCTTATTGGCACCTCCCCATTGCACCTCTGAGCACTGAGGGGTCTCCAAACTCCTTCTGGTGCTAAGTGCCCAGCCCTCTGCTGGAACGTGCCAGGGCCTCGAAGTCCCTTACTCTCTTAGATTTGACGTGGCAAGTTCCCTTCTGCAGCCATATCACTATTTCTGTTTAAACTAGAGCATCTCTCCTAGTAATCCTCTCCCAGTAATTTAGGGATGGAGACTCCACAGCAAGCCACAGTTCAGTTAAATATATGAATGGGAAAGAAAATTTTTAATTAGGATGGTTTTAATTAAGGATATTTGTCCTTAAAAACAGGTGTGTAGAACAGATCATTTCAGGTTTTTTTTTCTTTTGCAGAAATTAAGATCTTATCTAGTGGCTGGAATATTTAAGGTGTAAACATGGTTTTGAGTGGGACTTTTTTTCCAGTTTCCCCAGAGAAAATCTACATTGGGTCGAGTTGTTCACATCTGCAACCTCCCCGAGGGAAGCTGCACAGAGAACGATGTCATTAACCTGGGCCTTCCGTTTGGGAAGGTCACCAACTATATCCTCATGAAATCCACTAATCAGGTATTGTGCTTTTGAGCCGCTGCTATTGAAGTAAATAGGCAGAAAGCATATTGACATGCTCAATGAGACAGTGCCCATACCTTTTAATCTGCATCACACCGTAGCCTCTGTCTTCAGGGTTATGTCTACCAGTGCTGGTAGGCATGGTAGACTGGAAAATCTCTCACTGGAAATCTCTCATCCATAGCAGACAGTGCAGAATGAAGTAGAATCCATGACAGTGAGCAGTGTTAACATTTCAAAATGCAGTCAGTACACAGTTAAGTTTTTTTCCCTTGGACAGTTAAACCACTGTTACATCAAGTGGCATTTTTCATGCAAGTAGAAATGATAGTTAATATAGTTGTTTTATTAGTAGTAGTTCTTTGCTTTCTTCTGGCTGCTCACATTCTACTTCTCCTATAGAAGCCCTAGTGAGGAAGTGAGGAAAAGGTGGGTTTTTTTTGTATATCAGGAAAGATTGGATTCCAATTATTTGTTTTTTTAACCAGCTACTAAAGCTGCATATCAGCTTTCATAGCTATACTGTAACCGTCATTTTTAGTTAAGAGGCTGAGCAATCACCTTAGTATCCCTATTTCTCTGATACTTTGTTCTGTAATGATGTAGTAGATTTTAAAGCTCTCCCCATCTGTGCTAGGCCTTTCTGGAAATGGCTTACAGTGAAGCAGCACAAGCCATGGTGCAGTACTACAAAGAAAAACCTGCTATGATAAACGATGACAAGTTACTTATTAGGATGTCTAAAAGATACAAGGAGTTGCAGCTGAAGGTAAGATCAGATTCCTGATAAGAATTCATGAGTTTCTATACCTTGTCCATGAGAATACATCTAAATGTCTTTCTGATTGCTGTTTTCTAGTTAATGTTTTAATATTGTGGGAAAAGAAATGAAGAAAGATAAACTAACAAATGTTAATGATCTCTTATACTTAACTTTAATTAATTCTTAGATGAGATCCCATTCTCTGGTTCTCTCATAGCACTACTTCAAAAATCCCTTCCAAGCTTCTTCTCCAGTAAGCTGCTGGTTGAACTAAGCAGCCCATGCTGCTCGGTTGAACTAAGGCGTAAAACAATGTGTAAGATAACACATGTCAGCAAAAATAAGGGAGTGCCATCCTTTTGGACAAGCATTGAGCCTAGGGCATTGCTTTTCACTGCTTGCACACTCATAATACAGTCTTCACACTGAGCAGCGATGGCAAGAATAAGCATCATCCTGATTAGCTTTTGTTTCTTGACAGTGACCTAACCTAATATATATATATTTATGTAAGTGTGTGTATATATATATATATGTATATATATATATGTATGTATGAACATGAGATCAGAACAGATCAATATTTGTTCTTTGGACTTTCTGTAGACGTTCTCTGACACTTCTGATATGTCTAATCTGAGTGATCTCTAAAAACCAGTACTCTTGAGAGCATATTTATGGCAGCTTCTGTTCTGCTGTAATGTAATGCTAAAGGAATAAGCTTTCTGCATGTAGACTTGGACTGGAACCAGCAGTGAAGAGCTGGGAAGCCTTACATTATCCCAACACAGCACAGTAATTCTATAAAATAACTTTTTAGTGTTCCAAGTTAAGAGGCATTTTATGAGCATTAAGGGAAGACAAGTAAGAGGAGATTTGAAGGAATTGCTACTCTGTGAACCAGGGTATTCTTATTGTGGTACTGAGGCACTGCAGAATAAGGTGATGGAGTCTGCACATCTTAACATGAAGGCTGAGCTGGACTTATTCAGGAGAGTGGGATTTCAGGAAGATTTTCAGCAGTTCCATTGGAAGTTTCTCAGATCATGGAATTGGTTTTCTCTTCATGAGCAAAAACTCTTTTGCATTGTTAAAAACAAACAAATGAACAAAAGTACAGTTATATGAGAGGGGAACATGCATGAGTTACTTACCACTCTGAACTGCTCTGAGTTCCTACATGATTACTTTGCTCAGTTGTACATGCTCCATGTGGTTGATGGATTGCACACACTCCAGCCTGGACTCGTGCAGAGCCGTATTGTAGTATAGAATTAAGGCAGCTCCTCCCAAGGGTAAGAAACAATGGGCTGATGCATCTATTTAGTTCAAGTATTAGAAAAAGGGTCTGATTTGTGTCATCTTATATCCAGTTATATACTCTGCAGTGAGTGTATCAAGGAAGTACAAGCTGCTTTTTGAAGCCAAGTTTCCAGAAACCAGTTATGAGCAGACAGTGCTACAAGCAAATTTTCCATTTGTATCATTTTACTGCTTTGATCATGCTATTGAGATACCAGTTGCAGAAAAGACTATAACCAGAACACTGAAACCAAATATTTCTCATTACTGTAATGAAATGATGCATGCATGCTGTTTCTTAAAGGGCAAATCTTGTATAATAGCTTGGAGAGCAGTGCAGCATGCTAACAGTGTCTTTGTCTGATGTAGAAACCAGGTAAGAACGTGGCTGCTATCATCCAGGACATCCACTCACAGAGGGAGAGGGACCTGCTGCGTGAGGCAGACAGGTAAACTGTAATGATCATAGTCTGTGTGCTTCCCTTGTGTATCTCATTGCCTTTCTGATTTTGGATTGCATTCCAAATCACTGTAAAAAATGTAAGTGGGTACAATAGTAAGTGCAGAACCTATGTAATGAGTTCAGATGGAAAAACTGTACTTGTTAAGAAGACAAATGATCTCATTACTACTGATGATGATGACTCAGAAAATATGCCTGACACATGAGGAACACACAAATGAAGCCATTTCCCTCTCTAACCCTCCATAGTGAAAAGCATAAAGGCTGGAGATGTGGTAATACTGGAGAGGAAGAAATGTATTTGGTATATTTCTGATCTGTCTGGCTTCATTAGTACTTTCTGGACCTTCCAGCAAAGCTGGAGAAGAATCAGAGCCTTAAAACATCTATTTTAAATAGTTTATAATTTTCATTTTTGTCTGGCTAACTAGAGCCTAGCTAATGCTAGGTTATTGTAAGGGTATTAACATGTACACTTCCGATATTAAACACCTAGGAGACATTTTTAAGAACAAATGAATATATTCTTAATAGATCTGTGCAGTGCATGTCTGTGACAGGCCTGGGATCTCAGGGGTGCAGGCACTAGGGTAGTGCCAGAGTGTTTGCAATGCACAAGACCTCTCAGCAGCCTGCTGTTACAGCCAGTTACAGCTGCCTTTTCCCTCTGCAGCAGGTATGGCGCAGAGAGGCCACGCTCTCGCAGCCCCATAAGCCGTTCCTTGTCTCCCCGATCCCACACTCCCAGCTTTACCTCCTGCAGTTCACCCCGCAGCCCGATGGGGACCAGCAGGACCGACTGGGGAAATGGAAGAGAGTCATGGGATCAGTCCCCATATTCTCGACGGGAAGAAGAAAGAGAAAGCAGAGAATGGCGAGAGAATGGGGATGAGAAGAGAGACAGGACTGACATGTGGGTACATGAGAGGAAACATTATTCCCGACAGCTAGACAAATTTGACTTGGATGAACGGATTGAAGGAGGCAGAGGGCACAGAGAAAAATACGTAAGGAGTGGTTCTCCTGGCTCCCTCCACCCTTTGTCTGGCTACAAGAGCAGGGAAGATGACTATTACCGAAAAGCCTCTAAGTCAAAATCTGACAAATTTCAGAGGCAGGAGTTTTCTGGGAGATCCAAGAGAAAGGAAGAAGCAAAGTTCAGGGAACACAGGCATTCTTACAGCGAGGACGCTGTAAGGGAGGAGACGGCTGAACAGAAGCATAGCAAGGTCTCTGAGAGCTCCAGGCAGAAACAAAGTGATAAGAATAAAGTGAAGAAAGCTGAAAAAGACCAAGAAGATGCTGTTGCTGGAGGCAGCGATGTAAAGGAAACCAAACCTCCTGAGAATAAGGTAAATAGAACTCCCAAACTGTATGTAAGGAATAGGTAAATGCTGATGTAATATCTTTTCTGAAGTATTTTTGGTTAGTTGTTTTGGGGCGTGGTGCTGGTAATATGCAATGTTTTGCCATGATGGGGTTAGGGAATATATTCCTAAAGTAGATCCTGAAATGTCACCTCATTCAGGTCTTTGCTTAGACCTATGCAAATCTGTTACTCCGTTCTACTGTTAAGTACCTGGATATCATCTTTCACTGCCATGTGCAGACCTTTTGGGTAAAGTGTGAGGGGAAGGGAAGAGACAACTGAAAACAAAACCAAATGAACATCTCCTGTTTGCATGTGGGTTGCCTATGCAGAAGCAGTCGATCTGCTGTTCTGTCTTCCAGATCTGTGCTAAATCCCCCCATGGCTGCTCCCTCTGCATTGTTACCTTCTTCCACTGCCTGTGATAAGAATTAAGTTATCTAGGAATTAAGTTGTCCAGGAATTTTTGAGGGATGCATAATATACATAATTATGCTGCTATTACTACAGGTTGTTATACTGCTAAAATGGGGAATGAACTTTCAATAAGGAACATTTTCTTTTGGTCAGCTCTGTAGAGTAATTGGTGCCTATTAAATGTGAGGTCATCTGCAGCAGGGATAATTCACACTGTTCACTTCAGTGTGCTGGAGGTGTGTCTTCCCATGGTAGAACCACTGAATCAGCTCATCTGTGAAGTTATGGGATCTCTGTAGAAATTCTCCCAGTCAATGAAGTGGTGGTGTTTGTGAGTTTAATTCTCTACTAGGAAAGAGTGGACAGGAACAACAGATCAGGATACAGCATTTGTCCCAGTACAGCCCAGGATTATATTCCCTACAGGATTATGATTATTGGTTTGTGACCACCTTGCCTCCCCCAGTCCCTGAGTGCTACGTGCCCCCCCCCCCACCCACCGGGATGCAGTGCAGGAGGCTGCAGAGCTCCCTCACTGACCAGGGGTCTATCTCTAGTGAATGGCTTTTGTGCTGCTTGAGCAGTCTTTGGCTGGTTTTAATTGACCTTTGCATTTGTTCTTCTTGTGTGGGAGCAAGGTTGGTGGAAATATCTGAATTTGTAACTCAGCTAGCCTCTGTAATGGGCAGCAGCACTAGCTCATGCCATAGAAATGTGCTTCTGTAACCACCTTTGTCATCTTTCTCCTATTGCCGATATTTCACTGTGACAGATGGTTCCTTGGGAGATTTCTTTCACTTACAGAAAGGTCAGGCAGCTTCCTGAATCATCAGTGTTGCACACCCCTCTGCATGTTTTCAAGTCATTTTAAGCTGGCTTGGTAAAAGGCACACTTCCCGAGGGACTACTGCTAATAATGTATTTTAAAGGGCAGAAATAGGTTTGACTGCTCTTGAACTCATCGTACTCATGCTCCACTCCTCTTTTAATAAGTGCCAGGTAATATTGTGGCTTTGTTCTTCCAAAGTATCAGCAGTGTAAGTAGGTACATTCTCAGCTGATCCTGCATCAATAAACAAAACATTTAATGTCTTTTGTAGAGTTTCAACACTGCTGGTCTCTACCACATCTGAGCCAAGAATAACAGACATGGGTAAAGAACAGGGGAATGGAGGCTGGAAATTTTAATGAATTCACATTCTTCTCCACCTGTCTTCTAGCCTCTCTTCTGTCATCTCTATGATGTAAATTACATGTCTTTAGTTTTGTTTCAATTTCTTTTTCATCATTCTTATTTGTGCTGCTTTTCCAATGGAATCCAATTCTTGGGTCTTTTCCCACAGTCCAGTCGACTTGCATAATCTTTAGAAATAAAGGATGTGACCTTGTGAGTGACTTTGCTTCCCTAAACCCAAAATAGAAACATAATAGAGCGACGCTGTGTATTGCTATATGTGTATATGTTGTATCTATTTTAGCTTGGTAAAGAGGAGCAAGATCCAGAGAAGAGCTCACCTTCAGCTGATAAACAAGGAGGAGAATCTGGAGAGACTCTGGAAAACGCAGGAAAGGAGAAGGTTGGTGACACATAGTTGGTACAGCTTCCATGATAAAATAAGTGAAAACCCAAGTTTGGTAGTACGTTCTCCCAACTGAAATATGAAAGACTTCTGGACGGGTGCGTAGAGGGGCAACAGAAGGGAGATGTCTAATTTAACTTGCCTTATCTTGACCTTTTCCCGAAGTCTCCAGAACTCTTTTTTTAGTTGCTCTTTGCCAATGTACATTGCTTCACATGCATAGCCCTTGGCACTGACAACTGTAATGTATGCCTGAGTGAACCATGTAACTTTGTGAACCGTGCCCAAAAATAGGAGATGCAGTCAGTTAGTGGAGAAGTGGAGGGGGGGACTAACAGTGAAAACTTTTCAGAACATTGGCTTTAGATGGTCTGCCGATACTAGCTTCTTCTGATTGCTTCTGGTTTTAATTAAATAGTGTTTTCACAACAACCCTTCTGAAGCATCACAGTTGGGAACAGCAATGTCCTTGGAATTCCTCCAGCTTCATATCTGTAGGGTCATGGGTTGATGATCAGATATGGAAGCTATTGATATCTCTTGCCGTAGAAAACTGATCTCCTGGCAAGAACAGTGCAACTCCCAGAGTTTTCTTGCTGTTTTAGAATTCTAGGAAGGGAAGTGTGCGAATGGCCGAACAGGAGGAGAATACAGATTATTAACAGATTATGTGCTCACAATGATTCTGAGAGCTGAAATCTAAACTGCACCAACTATGTATGAAAAGGAAGCATGGGAAGCATGTACATAAACATTCTGATACTTCTTAAGTCCAATACTAGAATCTGAGCGTCCTACATGTCTATAATTACCTATGTGAAGTACATCAGATTATAAATCTTGGAGTATAGCTGTAAAACTGATTTTTCTTAAGGTCTAGGGCAATCTCTACCAACACAGTCTCTGGCAGAGGGCTCTTGCAGGTGGAAGGAAATGGCTACAGATGGTAGCTGCATTTTGTCAGTCACCATAAGAATTTAAAGGATCCAATCCAGAAAAGTCAAAGCCAGGGACTAGAGTGGTGTTCAGTGTATTCTCATTGTGTTCCTATTTCTGATCGCTCTGGAACAGAAGTAGAGGAGAGGGAGAGGTTAGTTTCCTTGGGGATCGTGTAGCAGAGTCAGTTGTGTAATAAGGTGTATGACAGGCTGTGCATTGTTCTTCTGCCTACAGAAAAGCAAGGAGTGTGAGACTGGAGAGACTGCAATCTCCAAGGCAGTCTTAGAAGCTCCCAAAAGTGAAGTTCATATTATTATTATAAAAATACTACTTGCATGCGTGCATAAGTTTAAAATCATAACATCGAGGCATATCATCCACTGAAACTAAACCACGAGAGGGGTTAGGCATGGCCAGATGCCTAAAATTTGTCCTGGTTACTGATGTTCAAAGCCCACTGATCTCTCATTTTTTTTACATCTTTGTGACAGGACCAAGACTGGGAGAGTGGAAGTGAGATAGAAGGCGAGACCTGGTATCCTGCTAACATGGAAGAATTAGTGACAGTAGATGAAGTGGGAGAAGATGACCTAATTATGGAGCCTGACATTACTGAGCTTGAAGAAATTGTACCAGTTGATCAAAAAAGTAAAGCTGCTACAGAAATGTGTTCCTGTATGACAGCCATGTTAGAACTGGAAAACGATCATAGCCACCTAACCAGGAACGAAGAGAAATTTACCCATAAACCTTTAGAAACAAACTTCAGGTCAGCAAAGGGCAGTGTAGCTTCTAGCATCTGTCAGGATGATGAGGAAGATGATAACGATGATGCTGTAACTGAAGCATCAAGCCTCAATCTGGACCCTGAGCAGAAGCCAGAGGAGTCGCAAGAAGACCAGTTTGCTAAGGAGTCTGATCACCAGCAGAAGGAAGTAAAGAATGATAAAGGCTCTGACGCTCATGTAGAACCTGAAGATCAGCATACACCTTCTGTTCAGCTAAAAGAAGAGGCTCTCCAGCTCCCTGATGCATTCATAGATGATTACAAACAGATGGGATCACAAGGAGCTGAAAGCAGAGAAGTTATGGAAATGCTTGTTAAAAACGTTAGTGAAGAAGCAAGACGTGAAAGCCAAGAGTGTCCAGAGGGTAACTACTGTTTTTTTTTCTTTTTGGCCTGCAGGGAGCCTTGCATGTTTTCTCTGACAGTAGGCTGAAATTTATTGCTAACAAGAGTAAATGTTGCTAATAGTATCAAGACTTGTCCTTGGAGCAGCTCAGTAAAAGAACTCTGGTGCCTTTTGCCAAGCTAAACCATTAGAGGCTCTTAGCTGAATAGTGTAAATGAAATATGATAAGCAGCTTGCAAGCTTTCTGAAAGGCATAAGCTGCTATAATTGTCATGTCAAGGTTCACATGAGTTTAAGTGAACGCTTTCAGTGCTCTGCTAAATTTATTTTGAATTGTCAATGAAATGAGTGACAGTCACTGAAGGTCAACAGAAAAGTATCTGTAATGTCTGGCTGGCTCCTGGACAAGGTGGGTATTCTTACACACTGTACTGAGGCATTAGTAACATGGAAATCATCCGCAGATTGTTACTTCTTAGTCCCTGTTCATACAAATACATGCCTTTTGTCAGGACTTGCCTTATCATCTCCTCTTATCTACTGCATGCTGCCTTTCATATATCTGATAGGACATGCCGTGAGATAGTGCCAATAAACATAAGCATAGCTGTCTATTAATATTTTAGTGTCAGGAAGAAAAAAAGAGATCTTGAATGTCTGAAATTGAGGTTGGTTCCTTGTCAGGCTTTCAAATGAAATTTGAGCAAATGTGTAGTGCATAAGGAGTGGAAGTGGAAAACGAAATAGACCATTTAGGTCAGGAACGCTCTTCTTTGGTTGCGACTGGAGCCCATGTGTTGGAGAAGGGTTTGTGAGCAGAAGTTGCTGGAAGTTTTATGAATAGCATTTTCTTGCAGAACATTTGGTGTGGATATCCGATCTTGAGCTAACTTTTCTCTCCTGAATAGACCTGAAACTTGTTCACCTTTCAGTACTTGCCTTCTGGCCTGAAGACAGCTTTCCAGGCTTTGTGTGTTTGGAGACAATCTGCCATGCCATGCCCTGCAACTGGAGATGGCAAGCTTGGCTCCCCTGGCTTCCTGCTTCACAGGCATCGAGCTCCAGTAACAGAGGCTTTTGATGTTTCCAACATCTCAACTTGCCAGTTGGGAGCCTGGAAACTCCAGGAGAGCATGTGTCCCAGGTGTCTGCCATGGATGTGGAAGCTGCTTTGCAAAGCTCCAAGCTCTCTGGAAATGCAACTGCCAGCTCAAAAGCCCAGAAATCAACCTAAGTGAAACTTAAGTTGCCAGAAAGGCCCTGGGTGTTTTAAGAATACCCAACTGAAGCTCTTGAGTTTTTCAGGATGTCTTCAGCACATTTGGAAACTTGGAATGGTCTTAAAAGTTAACTTGAAAGCCAATCAGTCAGGTTTTTTTATTATTATTTTCTTTTAAATCATGTGATACGCACATTTAAAATTATGAGGGAGAATTCATTTTCATAATCAGAAACCTTGAACTGCAGACTTGAAAGGCAGGAAGGGTTTGGTTTGGGCAGAAATTTATTTGTTTTGTAAGAAAATGTAGCCCTTATCTGGGTGAAATTTGCAATGCAGTGCAAATTCCATTAGGTTAAGGGAACTGGTTCCTTGATGTAAGAACTGAAGAGTAGCAATTATACCAATTTATCAGTAATTCTGTTGCTCTGTGGAAAAAGAAAAAAAAAAAAAAGTCTTGTCTGAGTCCACTTATGTTGATCAGTAGGAATCAAACCTCTCCTTCCTGGCCAGAAGCCACAACCTTTCAAAAGCCATAAAGCAGAATCCATCCCTTGGGGAGCAGAGGATGGGAGAAGAGTGGCTCCAGGAAGAAGACAGCAGCAGTGCTATGGGGGTCCTGCTGTGAGAGAGTTTGCAGTAGGGGAGCTGCTTGCAGCCAGTGCTCCTGCCCATGTGCAGCCCAGCTCCAGCCCTTGTCACACAATGCCATAGGTGGCTACGGGGCTGCAATTCAACTGTGCTTGGGCTGAAGGCATGTGTAATGTTATGGATCTGTTTAGAATTTAAAATATTAAATTTAAAAAAACATAGCAAGCATGATGTGAAAAATAGAAAAATGATCTAGAAGAAATAGGATTAACTATGTCAGCTGTTGAAGTAGCACTGAGTTGGATCTTGCTTGAATGGAAGAGCTTCCCTCATAGCTCCACCCAAAATGTGTTCTAAGAATTCTACAGATGTCTGTTTAAACTAATAAACTGTTTTCATTCAATACATTTATTCATTTGTTAAGCAAATTCTAGGTACCTGGAAATGAGATCTCTGGAATACCCAGAAGTAGAGTCTAGGAGGAGGCACTCTCCAGCAGGCTGGGAACAAGAAGATGTCTTCACTGAACTCAGCATTCCCCTCGGTACGTTGGGACATTCAGGCCGAGGGTGGCTGAGATGCCTCCCACTGCAATTCCTAGAGCTTACAACAAGATGTCACTTTAAGGCTACTTGCTATATTTATTTCTCAGAACAGATGTGAGGAGGGTGAGGGAGCAGTGTAAAGGACAGAAGGGGAGCTGTTGAAAGAAACAAGCTTTTCATTGTAGACCTTTGCCGATTTCTTTCCAGATGAATAGCAAAAGATGTTAATGTCACTGATGAAATCAGTTCCCTTGGGCTTCTTTGTCTCAAACCTGAGCCTGATGCACGGAATCTCTGCAGTAATCAGAAAGAAGAGTAAACTAGCATGGTTTAGCCTTGTGCACCCCCCACAGGCACACTGCATTCATAAGGGACCTGGTGAGGCTGTGATAGAAACTGATCAAAGTCAAGGGATCTTGAGGGCAGAAAGATCATCCAGGAAATTCTCTAGGAATTAGAGAGTTGAACTCTTAAGACATTTGGTATGAAAAATACTTAGTAATTTTAAAAAGTGCCTGTCATAAAAGTGTTGATTATACTCTCAGTATTACTAAAAGTATTTGCTTTACTGTGTAAACACTGATCATAAGTAAAACACTTGGGAGAATGCATCTTTTAAGAGTAATTTGCATGATGTCAGTGTGAATTTGCTGCTAATAACTACTATAGCTGTTCTGGCCCTTGAAGGTTACACAGTGAGATTTCCAGTCAGTATTATGTGAGAAAAGGTCCATGTGTGTGATATCTGCCAGAGAAGTGCAAGGTGTATTTGCAATGCACAGGATTTTATACTGCAGCTCAGGCGTTCAAAGCCAGGCAGGATGGGGCTGTGGGCACCTGGCTGCCCTGCCCATAGCACAGCGTTGGAGTTTGGTGATATTTAAGATAGCTTTCAACCTAAGCCATTCTATGAATCCAGGATCAGTCTTCATATCTATGCCATTTAACTAGCTTATTTTGGAGGGGAAGGTTTTCAACTGACATGTTGAATTTCTCAATAGGCGTGGAATTCGTGGTGCCTAGAACTGGGTTTTACTGCAAGCTCTGCGGACTCTTCTACACAAATGAAGAGACAGCAAAGACAAATCACTGCAGAAGTACTGTCCACTACAAAAATCTTCAGGTAAAAGCATAGGTGAAAATAGCCAATAACAAGGTTTTGGGGTGGACTGGGTATAAGATAGAGATGCTAGCAAAAATCAGTTTTTGTGCCATGGACAGAATTCAAAGTGAAATTTAAGTAAGCAAAACTTTTCAGTAGTTCCAAATTTTAGCACCCTAATTTTTGACTGCCAGGTCCCTGCTTATGGTTCATAAGTAAAATGGGGCCAGCTGGTAATTGTATCTTCTCATACAGACTGGATCCTTGTCACCAGCGCAGCAAGCAACTCAGACCTTTAGTTAGCCATTGTTAAGGGTCCTAGATGTTTGCGTTGTTGGGAGTGAGCCCAGCAGCAGCCTTTATTATTTCTTAGTTTCAGGAGAAGAACTTGTTTAATAACTTTGCTATTCTTGCTTTGTATGAGCATTAACTCCTGCAGCGTGTTTCAGCACGCAGTACTCTGTGATGCACAGGCTCTCCTGCTGTGACCTGCTGAAATCACCTTCCTGTGCTGCAGAACAGCATGGCAGTTCAGCCACAGAGAACACCACCACTGAATAATTTCTGCAAGGATATGCAGAGGCACGTAATCACTTCTGTGGTTTCCATAGGTGTATACCATCAGCCCTTGATAATAGCATGAAGAGACCATGGGCACTTGCCTTTAAATAAAATTTCCTGCCTTTATCACTTTTCAGATGTACAGTTGATAGTATCAGTAATGACAGCACAAGCATCATGCCTAATGCTAAGGACTCACTGAAGGAGCCAGCCTTGCATCACATCTCCTTGAAACCATACCCATGTGTAGGGTGTATACACTGCAGAAAACACTTTTATTTAGGATGCTTTGAGACAGTTAAGAGTTCTTATTATACTTTTATTGGAATTCACATGCTCAAAAAAAAAATATGACTGTCCCTTCTTTCTCTGTTCCTTTCCTCTGCCCATAGCAAATGCTGGAGCTCTACTTTTCTTCAGGTAATAGGCATTTTTCCCTAGCTGGCTAGTAGGCACTAGCCTTTCTGACAATAGTTTTCTTAATGAGATGTGGTTTCTCTGGAAGAATTTTCTTTTCAGGCCTCTGACTGTCAAAGACTCTGCCTGCAGAGCTGCTGTCCTTGCTAATGATGGTTCCTGTAAGTGTGATCTCAAAGAGCAGGCTCCCAGTTCACATATCTTTTTTTGCTTCTTTCAAGAAAATCCAGAGAAATTGGCCAGAGGTAGCACCACTCAGTACTTGCCCTGTATCCCATGCAGGTGTGTCCCAAAGAAACTTTGCTTAAGCAAAGGTTGCAACTCCAGCCCCATTTAACCAGTCCTATGAGAAGAAGAGGCAATTCTCACTTTCTAAGTTATTTTGTCAAAGTCATAGAAAAAAAAAGTCCAAATAAAATTAGGAGAGCATAGAAAAAAATCTTTTTCTCCCATGATACGTTTCCCAGGAAGACTGTAGTAGATATGTAACACTGATTTGAGATAAAAGCACAAAGACGGCAAAAGCTGTTAAAATGAAATCTGTCAAATATGGTAATGGAAACATAATGTTCTGTAGAGCCATTATGTTCTTAAATGGAGGAAATATACATCTGATAAATAACCATCTAACTTTTGCCAACTCAAATGGAAGTTCAGCAAGTTTTCACTTTGTGTTTCTAGATCCATATTAATTATGTATTCTGCAAGAAACATCAATCTTTCAGGGTGGTGCACTTTAATGAGTGTATCCAGCAATGTAAGAACTGTGGACTCTAGCTGTATGTGAAGCTATGGAGCTGCTCTACAGACTGTCATTCTGTTGTCTTGCCCATGTGACAAATGCCACTGTCTGATGCCAGCATCACTGTTCCAAATGCTTTCATGAATATGAGTCTTTTCCACTTGATTTGCCACATGGTATCTTTTGCACAACTCTCTTGGAGCCACATCCAGAATATATATTCAGTGTTTGGATTTTAACACAAAACCGAACAGTTTGTTTGTAACAGTTTTCTTCCAAAAACCTCACTTAGGTGATGAGTAAATAAGTCACATTTACCTCTTTGTCTCTCTGTCTTGCCCTTGAAGAACAGCAACTGGAGAACAAATTTCAGCTGTTTCTTGTCAGCCTTGCACACTTTTTGTACTTTTCCATTCTCTGTGGCTTAATACATAATTTCCCAGGTGATATTTATATTTGCAATCCACTGCATTTTCCATGTCCAAAAGATCTATCATTCGGCCTTCCCTCCTACAAGTATCACACCAAGCTGTCAGATTCATCTGGTGTAAGCTACCTTTGGCAATTCAGTGCAGCATTTTATTTTGTTTAACCCTAGCTTTATACAGTATTCATCAAAACTTGTATTTAAAGGAAAAAGAAAAACGCTTTTTTCCTAGACTTTTATTTTCCTATAAATGAATGTGAATATCTGATGTGTGAACTTCAAAACTGGTGAAAGCTGACATTAACATCAGCTAAAGGTGATGGATAAACCTCAGTCTTATTTTGGTGGGTAAGGGTAATCATTAAAACCCAGACGTGTGGGTTATTTGATCCAACAAGTGTTAGGGATTCGTTACAGTTCATGAAGTACAGACCACTTGTAGTCTTTATAGATTCTATCTCTCTATACTGCTGTAATGTTGGCCTTCTGCCACATGGAATTTTGTACCTGGAGCCACAATCAAGAGGTGTGTAATTTCTACTCCCAAGTCATGTTAATGGGGGTGCAGTCATCATTTTCTCTCAGTTACACCTACTCTTACATTTACTGAGTCTGTCTCAGATGTACCTTTTACATCCACAACTTGTATTTATGTGAGACAGCCTGGCAATCAGAACATAGGCCCTCATTTCTTTATATTCATTTCCCATTCCTCCTGTTCATCATGGAGGTCAAAGAGGTTGAACTCTAGAGGTCAAAGAGGAGGTTAAACTCTACTCTGGAGGAATCCTTCAACTAGATAATGTTAGTATGACCACTTCTACATTACTGTGTGGGTATCTGTGTAGACTAGCTGCTGATGAAGAAGCTTCTTTCCATCTATTTCTAAATCTGTTGACCATGAATAAATACTTTGAGCACCATTTTCCAACCTACATTCAGTTGTTTATCTTCCATTTCTACTAAGAGTGCTTTCAGAAGGTTAGAAGTCTCACTGGCCATGTTTGTATTTTCAAATGACGCTGAAATGCTTTTTCTTAGAATAACACAATACACACAGATACTCTAGCCAGAGTGCTAGTGTTAATTATTACTGAGTTTGATTTGTCTCTTAATATAAATATTTTTGTGCACAAGATACATGTCTGAACTGGAAGTGCTGAAAATGTAATATATATGCTTTAAATTATGACTCAGAACCTGTATCTACTCTCTGACACAGCAGTCTTACCCTGGTATAATTTAGTTGACTCAGTGGGGTTCCTGTGCTATATCATACAGGAGCTGTGAGTTTACTTGCAAAGAGAAGTGAGGTCTAGTTACACAGACTGATGGGGAGTTGTGATCTTTCTGATTCTGACAGCAATTCCCCTTGTGGCACAAGAGTAAATAACAGAATTTTCAAATCCATGGATTAAGCATTTTACCTGGCTTGAATTTTGACCAGGAGGAGGGTTCTATGTATATTCTTCCATTCTGAGGTGCTGGGATTGTGTAAGCTCTGAAAAGGAGTAGAGCATTCTGTGTTGAGTATTTTCAGTTTTAATAGAGATGGTTTGTTTTTGTTGTGATTGCAGAAATATCTGTCCCAGCTTGCAGAAGAGAGCCTGAAAATGAAGGAAGAAGACAGCCACCTGCTTCAGGATGACACTGGAATTGTTCCTCACTTTACAAAGAAAAAAATATGATGCGTATGAGCTGGAAGAGCCATAATGAATGAATGCTGATAGATTTTTTTAAAATTTTATTTTCTCTGACATAACTGTCAATTTGCACTGTACAGAGGAGGGGAAATAAAGAGCATCTTCCATGCACCTATGCCCAGAGTGCCATTAAAAACCAAAATGCCTGAAACTGTTTCCCACGGTGAAGCAAAGCTGGCATATCTGTACCAAGTGGAGCAATTCTTTCTCACACTCTGCACGTTGGGAGTGGTTTCCTAGATTAAATCAGAATTCTCAGGGATTCTTCAGGTTTTAATTCTGATGTGACACATCAGGTCAGGCAGAGTATTTAGAAGCACTCAGCATCCTCCAGTGGACGCTGGAAGGAAAGGAGATGTGACTATAAATAGGCTTTAATGTTGCTTAAAGTGTCTGCAGTCATTTTGCTCATTACCCCAGTGAGTAGGATTAGTGAGTAGGATTTGCATAGGACATCTAAAGCTATTGTGCTAAAACTAATCTGTAGATGGCATCGTGTAAACCCCATCAGCATCCATCTCCATGCGTCTTAGAGCTGGCTGAAATGATAGATATTTGTTGTTAAGCACTGACAGTGTTGTATGAATGCAGAGGGAGCCACAGTCTCTGCCCAGGGACCTTATAGCCTGAGCCCAGCACAGCGAGAGCAATTCAAACACATGTGCTGACAGCTCTGGATTTCAGCATTTCCTATGGCATGATCAGGGTGTTCTCCAGCTACTGTTCTGTTTAAAACTCTTCTTTTTGACGAATCTAAAGAGTGCCAACTTTGAGTCTTACAGACTTGAAACTCTCATGGGAAGCTTTTTAAAGTGCCATGTGTTTGGACCATATTGCTTTCAGACATTTTACTTGAGACTCTTGCTTTTGGAGTCTTTCTGTTTTCTTTTCAGAGCTGCTTTTCCTTGGCTTGGCGATGTTGAATTTTCCTGGTTTTCATGGAAAGATGCCAGACTTTTAATATTGTTTTCATATTTTATTTCCCTGATTTTTTTAAGGTGGATGTCACAACTCATGGCTCACAGGGCTGCACTGAGAACACAGGATGCACCAGCAGCTCTGGCATTATTACGAGCTATTGTTTCTGTGCAGTTGCTACTTAGTATTTTGCTCAGTCCCTTTGAAATGCACTGTACAAGTTTCTGGTTCATTTCAATGGGGCTTTGTGTTGCATAGTGAATGTGTATGCAAACCATTGCCAGAATTGATCCCAGAGTTATGCTTTTATAAAGTGCACCACGTAATCTAGGCATATGGGGATTTGCAGATGTGTTTCTGTTCTTTGCCTGACTCTCATACTCATCAGAGTACGTTCTGTAAAAATTACTGGTGCAAGATGTCCTGTTTAGATGTTGTAAGTGGAAATAGTTTCCCAAAAGGTTCCCGTCATCCCTAAGAATGGCATGGACATTGCAAACTATTACAGAGTGACTAAGATGCCAAAACTGCTTCCACTAAAGTATTCGTTCCATTATTTCTTGTGCCAGCAGTCATGCTTGTTCTCTGCAGTATCCTGTGGCCAGGCAGCGTGTCTTAGAGGTGTCTGGCGTTGTTGCCTGAAGCCCTCTTCCATTTCATGGCCTGTGCTTTCCACTCGTTTTTACCAGAGGTGGGTTCAGATTTCATATTTGGAATTCCTGTTACAAGTTGAGGGATTCTTTGCATCCCACATTCAGATGTGGCCTATCCAAAAGACAAGGGGAAATGAAAAACATTGCAGCATAAATCCTTCTTTATCCACACTTGAAGTATTTTTAAGATTTGGGTCCATCTGTCGTTTAAAACAGCCTTTGTTTTTCCCTAAGTAAAAATAAATAAATAAATAAATAAAAGGGGAAAAAAAAATGCAAACAGAATTTTTCCTTCAAAGGTTGGGCTTTCCTTTGGCTGTTTGTTTTTCACATAGCAGTGAAATTTGAGCACAGAGCTGTTAGGGCAAGAGCTTATATTGCAAGCTATAAGATTACAAAAATGGCAGCAGAGATTGTGCAACCATCTTCTAAAGCGCAGCTCTCAAGCTGGTCGTGTATCATCTGAATGTGAAGCTCCCCTTATGCCCTTCAGCACAATCTGGGTACAAGGGAAGGAAGTCACTCCACATGCAAGCATTAGATTTTTGAAGCTAACCCTGCTCTCAAACTGGGGCTCTCACTGCCCTAATGGCAGCTTGGTATACCATGTGGTTAAGTTTAATTGGATGTGAGACACAGCTGACTGTATATCAAAGTCATATGCCTCCAGCAACTTTATCCCCAGGTAACCTCAAATGAGAAAAGTATCACTCTTATTATTCTTTATTTGTATTGCAGCAGAAGCTACAGGTCCACTGCCTTTATTATAGGCATGACACAAATCCACAACAAAGACTTTCCCAGGCCAAGGAGCTTTAAACCCAACTTTCAGAAAACAGACAACAGGTGGATACAGGCAGGCAGGGAAAGCAATAGGCAAGCAATGAGATTTTGACTGGCAGCAGCAGAATTACTAAAGTGAGGGCTTGCCCATGAGGTTATTTTTCACCCCTCCTCAAATTCTTAATCAGGATCACTCTCATTATTCATAGCTTGCATATTTAACCTTCTTTTTCCTGTCTGGTTGCATTAGATATGCAGAATTCCTTCTTGACAGAGTAGACTTCAGTATCTTTCAGTCCTTGATCAAGATGTGCTCATTTAAGTTTTGGTCTCCATCCAGGGCTCCAGGAGCAGGAGTCCTGACCAAGAATTACCAAAGGCCTGTCATGGCTCCAGGTCCTTTGTTTTGCAGCAGGGCCAAGGCCACTGTTTTGGAGCTGAAGGAAGCAGAAGGAGGACACTCCGTGTGGCATCTCTACCCTACTTAGTTTCCTGGAAATGTCTCAAGTGAGAGATGCAGGAGCCATGCCCAGCCCCACAGATGTGACCTAACCAGACATTTATAGAGATGGTTTGGGGGACCCATTCCTCTGAGCATTGTCCCACACAACAGCAATCTGTAACATCTTAGGTACAGCCAAAGGGGCAGTTTTCTTTTTGAGGAGGTCCTTTCTCACCCTAGAACTCAACACTTTAAAGCAATCTCAAGTCTCAATTAACTCCTACTGATCCCTACAATCAGTTTTCAGCCCAATTCACTTTGAGATCTCAGAGATAATCTCCTTCCCTCCCCAACAGGCCATCATGCAATGCTGACAGGCACTCAGCTCCTCAATTTCTACTACCTATTCTGCTGAGGAAGAAGGCCACTGTAGGCAGTTGCTTGCCTTTCTCAGCTTATGTAAAAACGTGTTGTGGTTTTTTTTTGTTTGTTATATTTTAAATCTTTACTTTTTTTGTCGGCAGAATTCATCATCACTATAATCCACGCTGTTTATTAATACATATATATATATATACATACTTTTTATATATATAGCACAAAGCAGGCTCAGGTCTAGCCAAAAATATATTGATATTTAAAAAAAACAAAAAAGAGCTTCCTTAATATATACAAACCATTTCAACACATCTTAACCAAAGATCGCACTTTTTGAATAGGGACTGTGCTTTTCATCTCTGTGAAATCTGTATTGATCTCAAGTAGTCTTTAATGTCAATCTGCAACTTACTTTCCTTGAAGTATAAAATAAAACAATTAAATATTTGCCCCATAAGATTAGACAAAGTTTCACATTGGCTTTAACACTAAATTAGTGTTAGGCTGGTTATATTCAGGGTTTTTCTATTCTCTAAGGATTAAGGCTGTGATTTGTTGAATTATACTTGAACTGGACCAGATGTATTATTTATTGAGCTTATATAATCTTGTTAATTTAAGTTTTGGCTTGTAAACAGTTGGAATTTGTTAGTACTTGTTTAATTATGTAGGAACTGTCATCAATATTAACTGATCTGTGTAACTGATTGCAATTTGTGTTTCCTAAGAAGAAAGATTTTAATAAAGAGAATTCAAAAGCGTAAGTAGTGGTGGGCAGTTGTCCCAGCAACAATGTGCTTCTGGCTTTCCAGGAAATCTGTTGCAAATCAAAATGAATGAAAGCTAGTTTGGGGAGTAAGGTGAAAATAGGAGGCCGAAGTGTTTGCTGTTCAATATCATTTCTAGAAGTTGTGATTCTTACCAGGTGGTTCCTGCCACACACCACGAGTGACGGCAGTCATCGGGTTCTGAAGTTGAAGTGAACACATCTTGGCGTTGCGCTCCATAATTATTTTTAATAGTTACTACCTGCTCTAATACCTACTATCTGTTACTACCTGCTGTCCCTCCAGATATGCACTCGCTTCCCTTTTTCTCTTTATTTTCTCAAAATAAATTTGGCAGGCTGGCTGTCCCCACTTGCTTTTCTCTGTTTCCATCCAGACTGTCGTTTCATCCTTCTGAAAGTACCATAAAAAATAATTGTCCCCAACAAAACTAAGCATACCTAAAGCATTCCCTACCCGATCTCAGCCTAAGTCCCTCCATTTGCCTGTTTCCCTCTTTCCTGTGCTCTCCTTTTGCTGAAACTCCCTCTTTCGGCACACTACCACTGAACAGCTGGGGAACTGGGTCATTGGCAGTAAGGCTGGCACTCTGGTTTTCTGACTCTCCAGTTCATTAAATCAGCACTTTAATGTTTTCTAAGTAAGTGTTTTGCAGCCAAAGCACACGTGTAATGTATTTTAAGCCCAAATGGTTTCGGTTCTTCTGCTGTGGATGTACTGAAACCTTCATACATGTGATTGTGGTATCATCTCTTCACAACTATGAATCTGTCTCTAAAAATCAGGAAAGTCAATTTTATAAGTGTTTATTTGGCATCACGTGTCCTTAGCTAACAGAAATCCAAACTGCAGGGTGGAGGCTGCCGAGGACATCAGTGTTAGTATGGCAGGAACCCTGCCGTGTTTGTGCAGGTAGCAGTGGGACAGCCCCAAAGAACAGGTTTTCCTTTGCTTGCTTTTCTACGTCTCCCTCCACCAACCTCTGCTTATCTGTGTCAATACGCTGAGCGCTCCCCATGTGTTTGGCTTGCCTGATGCAATGCTGTGCTGTGCAAGTGTGCACCTGAGGTAAGGTGCTTTCCGTGTTGTGGAAAAGATGGGGACTGTGCAAACCCAGAGATCTTCCCTGCCTTTTCTGGACCATCCTCAGTGGGATGGGGTAATGCAGTAGTGGAATAAAAAGACCCTTTTCCCTTGCACTAAAGAAATACCTACAGGCATCAATCAACCTCGAGCTTGGCAGCAGGCATCAGAGCTGCAGGGCCAGCAGAACCTATTTTCCATGCACAAAGGTTTCTTGTTGGGGCTCATCTGCACACAATTGCATCAGCCTACTGCAGGGTGAGATTTCTGATCAGATACCCATAATTAAAAAGCTGGGGAGTTCTCATTTCAGTTTGTATCAGGCTGACTCTGCTTAAGCAGCCCTCCGTCAGGAGCAGTGTTTAGCTACCAGAAGTAAGCTTCATTTAAGCTGAAATAGCAGCATACGTCAATTTTTAATTAAATGGGTCAGATCTAAATGAGTGGGCATGTCCAAAAGTTTTTTGTGCATTACAAAGCCCCATAGGGCAGGCTGTATCCAGCCTTTTAGATCAGTGCTGGGCAGAGCACTGGCCAATATCCCTCCAGGAAAGACAGCACCGGCAATGCAGCCCTGGTTGGAGGCAGCTTTTCCAGCCTGGTTTCTTACCAGTGCCTTAGCAGTGAGGGATCCTGTTTGTAATCTGCAATAATGTTGTTTGAGGACATGTATATGAGTTCCACCTTCCTCAAACAAAGCCTTTGTGTCTTTAAGAGGGCACAGGAAGCCTGTTTTGTTTGTGGGTTTCTACTCCGGCTTGGTTGTGTTTGCATTGCAGTTGGGTTATCTTCAGCACAGAGCAGCGCGTTCTTGGCAGCAAACTTTCACCTTGTGCTCAGGGGGTGTAGCCAGGCAATGCTGTGCGCACCTGTGCTGGGAAATGAGGATAAATTTGCCTGCTTGTATCACTGCTGTGATGCTAAAACCAGTTTCACAGCAGGGCTATTAGTGAGCTTAGCAGCACCCAGCTCCCAAGGCATGGGTACACTGCAGGGCATGGGGGTGCACCTATGTGTGTGTGCATGTGTGTGCAAGAGCAAGGCTTGCACTGCCTCGCCTGGACTTTAGCATTAAGCACTTGGCTCACACTTTGCCAGTATTACAATAACAAGTCATATTCTGGTGCATGCCCAAATTGTGTTTCTAACATCCCTATCTGCCCTGTTGGCTGCTACTTCCTTGACGCAGGGATCCACTGCAGTGGAGAGCAGTGTGCACTGAACTATATGAGGGGAGCAGTGCCTGTGTTTCCCAAGGTGCCCCCACCAAAAAGTGTGGGATCTTCAGAAACAAGGCAGATCTTAACCTGACATGCCCACCAAAGGAAAATGACTTGAGACAAACAGGAGGGTCAGCCCATGTCTGTCCTGACACTAAGGGCAATCAGCGCTGCTCTGTCTGGGCTGTTCCAGGGCCTACTTCCAGCTGATGGAAATTGGGACAAGTTAACTCAAGCACAATATGCAGGATATTAGCCTGCCAACTGAACAACAAGAGGCTGTAAATAATCTCTTTCCTTGTGTGACTGTTGCTGAGCTGTGTGTGGACCCAAGAGTTCTGAATGAGGCCAGTAGGACCCATGCTCATGGGCGTTTCCCAGCAGTGGGCTGGTGGCTGTGGCTGTGTGTTCACAGGCTCTTCTGCTTTCATCTTCCTGCAGAGGCATATACTGCTGCCTCTTCCGAAACCTCCTACATGGG